CCACTGGTGCTGAGGAACGGTGGACAAACGCTGGTCAAGCAAAAATTTGAGACTATAATGATCAGTGCGAACCAGGAAGGGCTGCCCCCATAGATAAGGGCGCCAATGGCGTACCGCCTGCACCAATCCGATCAGCTCGCGTTCGTAGGCGGCGAGCTTGAGATGTCGAACTGCAAAGGGCCGGCTGAAGTAGGTGAGGGGTCCCGCGCCCTGGTGGAGGACGGCGCCGAACCCCGCACCCGACGCGTCGCAATCGACCACAAAGGTCGCGTCGAAGTCCGGCATCTGCAGGACGGGCCCTGTGGTCAAGGCGCGTTTGAGCGCCTCGAAAGCTGTCGTCGCGTCGTCGTCCCACAGGAACGCGTCTCGCCACAAGAGACGCGTCAGCGGGGCAGCGATGATGCCGAAGTCCTTGATGAATTTCCGGTAGTATCCTGCCAGGCCCAAGAAGCCGCGGAGGGCGGGCGGAATGGGAAGCGGCCATGCGTACCACAAATGGCGACCTTGTCGGCGTCCATGGCGACACCCCCTCGGCGATGACATGGCCCAGATAAGCCACGGACGGCGCCCCAAAGGAGCACTTGGAGCGCTTTAGATGTAGGTGGTGCGCTTGCAGGGCATTGAGGACGATGTTGACATGCTGCAAGTGCTCGGCCCACGACGAGCTGTAGATAAGGATGTCATCGAAAAATACCAGCACAAACCTTCGGAGGTAGGGCGGAGGGCGCGTCGTTCATCAAGGCACGGAAAGTGGCCGGGGCATTGAGAGCCCAAACGGCATGACCGAGAACTCGGCGGCCATGGTGGGTGCGAACGCCGTCTTGGCGATGTCGTCGGGTACATCCGCTTTGGTGGTACCCGGCGCGAGGTCAAGCTTGGTGAAGAACCTCGCCCGTGCAACTCATCCAAAGCAGTTAAATCGACCACCGGGATTGGGAACTTGTCCTTGGAGGTCTTGGCGTTGAGAGCACGGTAGTCGATGCGAAAACGCCAAGATCGATCCGCCTTCCGCACCAAGAGAACGGGCGCGGAGAACGGCGACGTCTTTGGGCGGATGATGCCTCGCGCGGCAAAGATAATCACAGATCGCCGCTCGGCAAAATCGTCCTTCTGCGGTGGGGGGGTAGCGGTAGGCGCATCGCCACAGGCGCGTGCCGGGCAAAGCAGTGGATCGGTGGTCATAGGGGCCTTGGGAGAGAGCCCGTGGGCTCCGCGAGACGGCAGCGGCGTCTTCTTGAAGAAGGGCGTCTAGCAAGGGCAGCCGGTACCGGAGTCCGGTACCATCGCGGCGAACAGCTGGGCAGAGGCGGCCGGTTGAGGTGCAGACGCACCGGCCACCCCCTGCCAGGTGATGCGTCGGCCGTTCCTCCAGAACGATAGCGTGAGGGCCTCGCAGTCCCATAGGATGGGGCCCAAGGTCCGGATGAAGTCGAAGCCGATGATGAAGTCGAAACCGCCCAAGTTGAGGCTAACGCAGTGTGGCGAAGTCCCCGTCGTGAATCGCGGATGGGCACGCTATGGCGATACCCTCGCAGGGCATGCGGTCACCATTGGCCACCGTGATCCGTAGGTGGTCACCACCGGCCGGAACGAGGCCCAGGCGACGCATGGTCTCCCCGGCCACGAAGTTGTGCGTCGACCCGGTATCGAGGAGGGCGAGGAAGCGTTCCCCCTTGATGGTGACGGGCAGCAGCATGGAATTAGCCTCCCGAATCCCTGCAATAGCCTGAAGAGAAACCACGAGGGCGTTAGCGGCGGGCGGCGCGTGGGCATCCTGGTCGACCGGCAGGCCATCCTGGGCGTCGGCTGCCGGCTCGTCGTCGAGGTAGTCTTCGCCCTCGAGGTAGAAGAGCCGCGGGCACACATGGCCGCGAACGTAGGGCTCGTCGCAGTTGAAGCACAACCCCTGACGGCGACGTTCTCGCCGCTTTCGGCGAGAGACAAGCGACAAAATCGCCGCGGGCGGGCTGCGACGGCCCCCTGGTCCGGTGGAAGCGCGGCCCGGCCATGGCCGGGCAACGCGATAAAGCGCCTTCTTTGTTGTGCCTAGGCCGATCATTGTGGTGGTTAAAGGCCATGCATGTGGTGGTGGTGGGCCAGCAGATACGCTGCTAGCCCCTCAAAGGCCCGCGCCAGGTACATGGTGGATCGAGGTCCGTGGCGCCGCGCTGACTGTACTGCTTCTGATGTGGTCCGGGAGGCCGCCCACGTACAACTCCGCCTTTTGGCGAGCGGAGAGGTCGCGGGCATGGGCGAGCACGGCTTTATGGCGCTCGAGTAGTCTGCCTGATGAGAGACGAAGGGGAGCAGGCGAAGCTCCCAAACGGGTACCTGAACCGGCGGTCCGAAGCGGAGTGAGCAGAGGGCCAAAAGCGCTCCCATGGTGGCATCCTCGCTCTTTCTCGTGGCATAATACCATGTCTCGAGCCGCACCGCATGCAAGTGGTAGGACGCGAGTCAAGTCTCTAGACGAGGCCGGCGTCTGCGTCCCCTCAAGAATCGCTGCACCTTTGACCGTTCAACCAGCTTTAGGGGTCCACCGAGCCATCGAATGTCGGGAACTCCACATTGTAGAATTTGGGCCCGCTTGGGCGCCACCAAAGCGAACGCCGCAGAAAGCGGGTCGACCACCCCGTAATCGGGCTTGGCCGGCCAAGGGTGGAGGTGCTCCTCGAACAATGGTCCATCTACCCCCATAAAAGATGTCATTGGCGAAGCGGGAAGAAGAGGCGATATCGTCGATGATGGAGCCAAGTCGGCGGGCGTAGAGAGAGGTTTGTCAAGTAGATCGGCGCGAGGCCGCCATCTGGTCTGCAGCAGCCAAAGGCGAGCGGCGACGGCGAGCTTGGCCACTGCAACTGATGGAGGGGAACGCTGGACCCCGAGTGCGGCATGCCATAGGGGTAGGACGCCGCCGGAGCAGACGGCGTTGGTGTGGAAGATCGCGCGTCGGCGGAGGAGCCGGAATGGCGGCGGCGCGGTTCTTTGGACGAGCCTGTTCTGTGCAGCAGCCCTCATCTCCCGTGATCTCGCTACCGGATGTCGAGGACGACGGAGGCCAACGCATGCAAAGGCGTGAGGGGGCCGGAAAGAAGCCGTTGCATCGGAGATCCCAGAGTTCACGGAGGGCGGCGGCGGTGGGGGTGACGGTGAGCGGTGCGTGGTGTGGTGGTAAGAGGCAAGGAAGCGACATCGTAGCTCAGCAAGTCGATACCAGTTGATAGGATTTTGATCCTACCAGAACACTCTGAAGCCTATAGGGGTGAGAGGAGGAAGAGTCGGCTTGGGACCTCATTGCCGCCGGGCGAAAAGCAAAGCGCCGTGGCGAGGTTTCTTGTGCGCGGCGTGAGCAGCAGAAGCGCAGGAGGCTAGGGCAAACTCCGGCTCCTCGAGGAAGCCGGAAACAATATATTGTTTCGCTTGATTCCCAATCGTTTTACAATTCATCTATATATAGTTCTTCTAAAAATAGGAAACTAACTCGGCAATAGCCAATAATTCTAATATAGATAATTATCCTGGGCCCTAAGCCCATGCACCAGGCGCCCAGGTCAGCCACCCGTGGCCCTTCTCCTTGCATACTGGATTCCGGTCATAACAGTGGATGACATTGTCCTTACGGCTTCATCTCAGCAACTCCTTCACCGTGTCATTGCTGCTCTGAAAAAGGAGTTCGCCATGAAAGATCTTGGACCCCTACATCACTTCCTTGGCGTTGCAGTTCAACGCCACAAGGATTCTGTTCTCCTTTCACAGCGTCAGTACACTCTGGACATACTTGCTCGCCATGGCATGAGTGACTGCAAGCCTTGCTCCACTCCAGTTGACACTTGTGCAAAGGTACCAGCTGATGCCGGCCCGTCTGTTGCTGATCCCACTGCTTATCGCAGCCTTGTGGGTGCCCTCCAGTACCTCACCTTCACCAGGCCCGACATTGCCTATGCCGTCCAACAAGTGTGCCTTCATATGCATGATCCGCGGGAAACTCACCTTGTCGCTGCCAAGCGGATCCTTCGCTATCTTCAGGGCACCCTCAGCCATGGTCTGGTCATTCCCCGAACAGCCCCAACACAGCTCCGTGTCTACACCGACGCTGTTTGGGCCGGCTACCCGGACACCCGCCGCTCCACCTCCGGCTACGCCGTCTTCCTCGGGGGCAGCCTGGTCTCCTGGTCCTCCAAGCTGCAGCCCACTGTCTCCCGGTCTAGCGCCGAGGCAGAGTACCGGGCTGTTGCTAACGGCGTCGCTGAAGCCACTTGGCTGCGGCAACTGCTCCAGGAACTTCACCATCCCCTGGACTCCGCATGCCTCATCTACTACGACAATGTCAGCGCCTGCTACCTCTCCACCAACCCCGTTCAACATCAGCGCACCAAGCACGTGGAAATCGACCTTCACTTCGTCCGTGAACGTGTCGCCATGGGTGCAGTCCGGGTTCTTCATGTGCCCACCACGTCGCAATTCGCCGATGTCTTCACCAAGGGGCTCCCTTCCTCTGTCTTCATGGATTTTCGTTCCAGTCTAAACGTTCGCTCCACCGACGATCTGATCATTGCTGGGAAGTTAGAAATTAATATTGCTATTTACTTTAATCACCTAGTTGTGTAATCTCCTAGCTTTAATCTCCTAGCTAGCTGTGCTGAGTTAATGCCCAGCTGGCCCCTTGGGGTTCGGCTGGCCTCTTGGGACTCGGCTGGCCCTTTGGGTCACCCTCCTCCTCTCTTTATATATGTAATCTCTTCTGTAAACTCAATTCAAGGAATCCAAGCCTGTTAGGCTATTGTCTATCACTTAGGAATTAGGATCATGATCCTATGTAAGATCTAAGATCCTACCGAACTTATAGTATCGTATGGAACTTTCATATAGGATTGGGGTACTATGAAATTCAAGAGCCATAGTGGGATGGGATGGGCTCTTTTCAGCTTGGTAGGATCTATCATAAGATTCTAGGATGAACTGGGATACTAACGACCGTGCTTCCAATGATGCAAGTACAGCGGATGACCTTGGCTTGCCTTCGGAGGACTCAGGGGATGGTGACTTCGATCCAGCAGGTCCAGATTCTAGTGAAGACCAAAAAGATGGATTGAACTCAGAAGTGTCAGATTTCACATCTGACTCTGATGATTTTTGTGCGGAGATTGCTAAATCTTGCGGCCAGGATGAAGTCTCAGAATCTCCATTATCAAATGTGATAAACCGTACTGATAGAATGAAACTCAGGGCCGCCGATAACTGCTCTAATGAACAAAACCACAATCATGCATTTATGGACATGAAACTAGATCAAGACATGGTGCTACCAGTTTCAAGCAGGCGGCAGGTTGAACGGTTGGATTACAAAAAACTATATGATGTATGTATGCCATCTCTCTCGCATTTTCCCCGTACCATGAATACATGTTTTCTGTATCCGATGTTTCCTACTTCTTGTTAAGCACTAATATGAATAATTTAAGTCCTAGTTTAACAATATAAGAGATAGGAAAGGTAAGAATGCAACCCTTTTTCATCCAGTAAACATTAAATGCTTATCTTTGTTTCATAATTGAATGTAGTCAAAATAGAAAGGTTGGGAACAAGCAACCTTGGTCTCTTTGCCATATATACAACACAAATTTCTTTTCCCCTTTTCCATCTATTTCTCTCCTGTGTTTCTTTTCTAGTAGCAGCAAGAGCGCAAGCCAATGCTTCTGACAAAAGAGAAAAATCAGATTATGTCTGGCTCATCATGCTATTTGTATTAATGATTGCAAAACTTCATTTTTCTATATGCCTGCAGACCTTCAAGCAGAAAGATGCAGCCCCTATCTTATGTTATACACATGGTGGATATATTTCCATATCATTAAGGGAAAAATGCTTCAAGCAATTAAAACTAGGCCATTTTTCTTAATATAATGATACACTGCATGTTCGAGAAAATAAAATTAAAAGTAGGCCATGCTGTCAAGCATTCATGCATAGAAAATGGCACTTAACTGAAGACAATCAAAGCCTTTTTATTCGCAAGCAAGTTGTAGTCGTCTAGAGATGAAAACCAACAAATAAATAACAAGGTAAAAAAGCACAAAAAAAGAGTAAATGGAAATAGTGATAGGGGTAGTAACATTCATAATTTATTTGTCATTGGAATTCCATCTTTAGTGAAGCAATCAGCTTATGACTTATACTAAAACCACATTGCACACCAAAGTATGCTCTGTCCTTATCCCTTTCTCTAATCTCTTTCATTTATTGCATTGGTAATACAAAGGAGGCATATGGGAAAGAATCATCTAATTCAAGTGATGACGGAGAGTGGTCTGGAAAAGAACTATTAGAAGGCAGTGAAACAGATTCACTTGGCGAGCGACTTCATCCTGTAAAACGGTGCTCTAGAAGAGCACCAGCAGGGCAGCAGAATAATGAGCATACACCACAGAGGGAGCCGCTTCATGGTTCTGAAAGTGAGCAGAAAACTGAAATTCTTCGCTCCAATGGCGGCTATAGCACAGGACGGAAGTTTGGTCCTGTAGTTACCCAGGTATAGAAAATTTTTAAACATATCGTATTAGCTATCTGGAGTTTAGTGTTAACAAGTTGAACCAATTAATCATGACTTGAGATCAGTTATGCCATTGACACTATCTCTTGCAGAAATTGAAGGTACATTTTGAGAAAGATCCATATCCTAGCCGTGAAACGAAAGAGAATCTATCAGAAGAACTAGGCTTGACATTTAATCAGGTACTAAATTCTGCATTTGTTCTCCCTCCCAAGAATTTCCTGCTGTGCCATGCGCTTGTTGGAGTTTAGTTATACTTCTTCTTCCTTAATAGAGTTTCTGTTATCAGGTCTCCAGATGGTTCTCTAGTACTCGTCACTATTTAAGGGTTGCTTCTGCCAAAAAAGAAATGCATCCTGACGGCCATACTAGTGAGAATAATGATAGCACAACTGTAGATAGCTTGCAAGCAAGACAACCCAATGCTGGGGTGATGGAAAAGTTGACTAGGGATAGAAATGACATTGTTCCTGAGACACTGATGGCGCAGAACAATCTTAACCAAGGGGTGATGGAAAAATTGATTAGGGATAGAAATGACAATGTTCCTGAGGAACCGGTGGTGCAGAGCAATCTTAACCAATGTAATATTGAAGAAATCCCGCTTTCTGGAACAGAAATTGAGATGGTAGGTTTTGATAGTGAGTCTATTCATTTAGAAATAGAAAATGAACTTTTGAATCCATGCCTTAGCTTTACTCATCTCCCTTCCATTTGTTTCATGTGCAATTCTAAAGGAGTCTTGCGGACAAGAAGCATCTGACTCGAGTGATGAAGAGTGGTCCGCACTCAGCACACCACGAAAAACAAGATTACAAGGCAATGAAAAAGCATCAGTTACTGAATCACCACGCTCTACAAAACGGTGTTCCAGAAGAGCAGCTAGGGAGCAGAATAATGAACATACTCAGAGCGAGCAGCTTCATGGTTCTGCAAGTGAGCAGCAAACTAGCGAGCAGCTTCATGGTTCTGCAAGCGAGCAGCAAACTAGAGAGCAGCTTCATGGTTCTGCAAGTGAGCAGCGAACTGAAGCTCTTTGCTCCAATGTCAGCAGTGGCAAAGCCTCAAAATATCATTTTGGCCCTATAGTTAGTCAGGTATATAATACATCTCCCCTTTTAGTATAGTTATAATTATTATCCAGTTTTTATTGGAATCACTTTGTGCTAACAAACCAGTCCAATTAATTGTAGTCTGATATAGATTACATTGTTGACACTGCATTTTCTTGCAGAAGCTGAAGGAACATTTTGAAAAAGATCCATATCCTTGTCGTGCAACAAAAGAGAGTCTGGCACAAGAGCTAGGACTGACATTTAATCAGGTATTACTGCCACCCTAAAGAATTTTATTCTACATTCTTATTGGGCTGTTATCGTTCCCTTTTGTCTTAATATAGTTTCTTCTAACAGATCAGTAAGTGGTTCTCTGCTACTCGTCATTATTCAAGAGATGCTGTTGCCAAGAACCAAAAACATCCGGGAGAAAAGACTACTGAGAATAATAATAGCGCAACCTTTGATGGCACACAAGCAATTGAACCCAGTGTTGGGTTGATAGATAAACCAACTGCAGATATAAATGACATGATTTCTGAAAAATTGATGGTCCAAATTAATCTTAACGAAGGCATTGAAGAAGATATCCCACTGAGCCAATGTACCAGGTGTGAAGAGGAAGTAACTATGACTCCAGCTGCCATCTCAAGGGAAGCTGGTCCTCCAGGATATGGTCCTGGAGAAAACTTTCTTCAGGTCAGTTCAAGGAATACTAGCTGTGAGCAGAGTGTGATAATGGCTCCTACCGCTATCGCAAGAGAAGTTAGTCCACCAGGATATGCGCCTGGAGATAACCAGGGCAGTGGGGCTCCATGGAATACAAGCTGTGAGCGAAGACTGTTTATGAGTCCTGCGGCCAGCTCAAGAGAAGTCGGACCTCCAGGATATGGGCCTGAAGAAAACCGAGGCAGTGGCATTTCCTGGAATACAAGCAGTGAGCAAATATTGTTTATGAGTCCTACAACCATCTCAAGAGAACTTGGTCCACCAGGATATGGGCCTGGAGAAAACCAGCGCTGTAGCACTTCATGTAATACAAGCTGCGAGTCGGGAGTATTTATGAGTCCTGTGACCACCTCAAGAGCAGACGGTCCACCAGGATATGGGCCTGGAGAAAACCAGGAGAATGACAGTACGAGCTGTGAGTTGAGAATGTTTACAAGTCCTACAACCATCTCCAGAGAAGTTGCCCCACCAGGATATGAGCTTACTGGAAAAAACAAGGGCAACAGCGCTTCGTGGACTACGAATTACCAGCAGGGAGTGTTTATGAGCCCCAAAACCATCTCAAGAGAAGCCTGTCCTCCAGGATTTGGGTCTGGAGAGAACCAGGGCAACGAGACTCCATGGTATATGAGCAGCAAACAGAGAGCGTTTACGAGTCCATCATTTACGAGTCCTACAACCATCTCGAGAGAAGTAGGCTCGCCAGGGTATGGACAGGGAAATCAGGGCAATGGTGCTTCTTGGAATACGAGTTATGAGCAGGGAGTGTTTATGAGTCCTACAGACATCTCAAGAGAAGTCGGTCCGCCAGGATACGGTCCTGGGGAAAATCAGGGCAATATCACTTCGTGGATTTCGACCAACAAGCAGAGAATGTTTACAGGTCCTTCAACCATCTCGAGCCAAGTCGTCCTGCCAGGATATAGCCCTGTAGGAATCCAGGGAACTGGTGGCTCAAGGAGTATGAACCTGGAAGCCTTTCCACCAGGATATGGACCTGGAGAAAACCAGCGCGGTGGTGCTTCAGGGAGTGTCATAAGCCCCCAAGCTCGGTCTGTGGAGAGTGTAGAATTTTCAGACGAGGCTAGAAAAAAGGCTATACAGCGGGAGCTGAGACGGCGGCAGAAGTTCAGGTGATGCCGTGATGTGAACTTTTGATCCTGCGCATCGAATTTTGACAACGGATTACTTTCAGACTATACATATCCAGTCTTGATGGCTGAATGAGTGACGACCTTAGTTGTCGAGAAGCAAAACCCCTTGTTGTTGCAGCAGCTGTGTATGTGTTTCTTTTAGATACTTGCTTGGCTTGTCAAGAATTTCTTATGTGGACCTCTTCAACGTGCTGTGAATTTGTGCAGTTGCCTTTCTTCTGCATGAGAGGCCATGTTATCTGGGTTGCACGGCATGCAATTCGTTGACATTGCTACAAGGGTCAGACAATACTGACCCAGGAACACCTACCTTGCGTTGTGCTTTGTGTGCGATAAAGTTTGATGATCCCTTAAAGGGAGTTGTTATATTTCAGATGTCTAAATTTTTACAAGTCTTGAGACAAAAATCTTACAAAAGCAACTAAAAGGATAACTCACAAAAATCTTACGGGAGCAACTAGTACAATTAAAAGGATAGCTCACAAGAGATCTATAGCTAAACAATGACAAAATTGAATGTTGTCTCAACCATCTTTTGGTTTCATCTTCATTAGAATGGCTAAATTTAATATTGGCTCGCCACGTCTATCACAACCCTCCTCCACCAGGGTTTGAGACCTGCTATGTTGAGACAACATAGGCGGGACCTGTTATGTCTCAACCATAACCAAAAAAAAAATCAGGCACATATAGGAAAAGTGCCGTTTTTAACGTGGACGTTGATTTAACACATCATCATCAATTCTATGATTCTATACAACGGTTCTGAAGCCGCATTTTTACCGATGGGGCTAGTTGGGCTGTACAACTCCGTGACAGAACAGCCCAGCCCATCTGATGCATTAATAGTTTCTAAAAAAAAAAACTGATCCATTAATATAACGGCTATCCCGAACCCGAACGGCTCCCATCCCATCTGATCGATCCCTCGCCGCATTTCAAATTCTTCCCCAAGTGCTGCCGTTCGCACCCATGGCGGCCAGCTCCCTCTCGTCCCCGGCGGCCAGCCGGACGCCGAACCTGAAATCGGCGCCGGCGCCGTCACCATCCCCATCCACCCGCCGGGCGGCAGCAGATGCGGCGTCGGCGGCGGCCGCGGCAGCCGCGGCGGACTCGAAGGCACGGTTCGAGGCTTACAACCGGCTGCAAGCGGCAGCGGTGGCGTTCGGCGAGAAGCTCCCCATCCCGGAGATAGTGGCGATAGGAGGCCAGTCGGATGGGAAGAGCTCCCTCCTGGAGGCGCTACTTGGCTTCCGCTTCAACGTCCGCGAGGTCGAGATGGGCACCCGCCGTCCTCTCGTCCTCCAGATGGTCCACGACCCAACCGCCCTCGAGCCCAGATGCCGATTCCAGGTGCGTGTGCGCCGACTCCTCTCCTAGGTTTTCTCCCATTGCTTCTCCCAGATCGAGTCTAGTAATGAATGTGAACTCGACGAGCGGTTGTTTGACGTGGTTTGTTGTGCGGCGCGTTGCAGGAGGAGGATTCCGAGGAGTACGGGAGCCCGATGGTGATGGCTACGGCCATCGCCGACCTCATCAAGCAGCGGACTGAATCACACCTCCGGAAGATCCAGGCCGCTGTCTCATCCAAGCCCATCGTCATGAGGGCTGAGTACGCCCACTGCCCCAACCTCACAATCATCGACACCCCAGGTTTTGTGCTTAAGGTACAGAGGTGAACTTGGGGCTTCTTAGTTCGCAGACGTCAGTGATGGTGTTGGTCCGACCTCGTCTGGAAAAAGTGATGGTGTTGGTCAGCTGTCCGACTGATGTTATTGTTTGCTTGCTGCAGGCTAAGCGAGGCGAGCCAGAGAGCACACCGGATGAGATACGGTCGATGGTGAAGTCACTCGCGACCCCTCCCCACCGCCTCGTTCTGTTCCTCCAGCAAAGCAGCGTTGAATGGTGCTCATCGATCTGGCTCGACACGCTTAAAGAGATTGATCCCACTTTCAGGCGCACCATGATAGTCATCTCCAAGTTTGACAACCGCCTCAAGGTATGCCGTAGAACAATGCGCAATTGGTACTTGAGCTTGCCTTGTCTTCACTCTTCAGTGCGAACAAGTTGTGTCATTGTGTCTTACGAAAATGTCATTGTTCTTGGTCATTTGAAGGAATTCACGGAGAGGTGGGAGGTCGATACCTTCTTGAGTGCAAGTGGCTACCTTGGGGATAATATCCACCCGTTCTTCGTGGCTCTTCCAAAGGACCGTGGAACAATTTCCAATGAGGAGTTCCGCAGGCAGATCTGTCAGGTTGATATTGATGTGCTACGTCACTTGCGAGATAATGTGAAAGAGGGTTTCAATGAAGAGAAATATGGATCATACATTGGGTTCAGCTGCCTCAGGAGGTACCTCGAATCTGAACTTCAGAAGAGGTACAAAGAAGCAGCTCCAGCTACCCTGGCATTGTTAGAGCAGAGGTGCACTGAAGTCTCAATGGATCTAACGAGACTAGATTCCAAACTACAAGCAACGTCTGATGTCTCTCAGCTCCGGAGATCGGCAATGCTTCATGCAGCTTCTATTTGCACACACTTGGTATTACAAACACAATGCAACTTATGAACATTCTCGTTTATGTTGCTAACACTTGATGGACTTCAACTAATTGAATTTCCTTTTGGTATCAAAGCATGCATTACTTGATGGAGCTGCTGATCCAGCTCCAGAAATATGGGGGAAAACTACTGAGGAGGAACAAATGCATAGTGGTATTGGCAGCTGGCCTGGCATTAATATGCCTGTAAAACCTGCCAACTCCAGCCTTAAGCTGTATGGTGGTGCAGCTTTTGAGAGAGTAATGCATGAATTTCGATGTGCAACATATTCAATGGAATGCCCACAAGTGTCAAGGGAGAAGGTACTCTTTAGCCTGGAACCATACACACACAAATTTATTGGGAGAATTACTTATATACTTGTGTCACTAGGTTGCGAACATACTACTTGCCCATGCTGGAAGAGGTGGAAGCAGTAGGTTGACTGAGGCAGCAGCTGAGATAGCTCGTGCAGCTGCACGATCATGGCTTGCTCCTCTTATTGATACTGCATGTGACCGGCTTGCATTTGTCCTACAAAGTCTGTTTGATCTTGCTATGGAGCGCAACCGCAGTAAGGACTCACAATGTAAGAGCTCGACCTTGCTATTCAAAATGTTGAAGATATAAGCCAGCATGTCCTGTCAGTTTTTACATTGTCAGCACTATTACTTTGTACTTTCACCATTTTTGAAGATATAAGCCACCATGCCCTGTCAGTTTTTACATTGTCAGCACTAAGTGGTATTATTACTTTGTACTTTCACCATTTGCTAAATGTTTTTTGGGGGGTAACAGATCATCAAAATGTTGAAGATATGGATAGTTATGTTGGCTTTCTTGCTGCTCTCCGTTGCTCATATTATAAGTTTGTCAAAGAATTGTCCAAGCAATGCAAGCAGATAGTGCGTCATCACCTTGATTCAGTTACGAGCCCCTACTCCCATATTTGCTATGACAACGACTTTCTGAGTGGTGTTGGATCTGTAGCAAACTCCATGAGTAGGTTTAATCACTTTACTGGAGTTACATCCTTTGATCTAGCAGACAGTGGATCAGCATTAGAGGAAGCTCAGGAGAACTTGCCTCCAAGAGATCAGCAGCATATGACACCGCCTAATAAAGGGAATGAGTCAAAGGAGGTTCTCAGAGAAAGCCAGCTAACAGTACCTGAGACACCTTCTCCTGATCTGCCATCTGATATACATGGTGGTAAGAAGAAAGATAATGGGATCCCAAATGACGGTGGCCCAAGGAAAAGACAAGCAAGGATGGCAGCATATACAAACAGAAATCACCATAACAGTATGATTAGTGCTGATGACATGGGCTCGAAGTCAGGGTCATCATACTCCACCATATGCGCAATATCTGCTCAATATTTTGCCAAAATGCGAGAAGTCCTGATTGAAAGAAATGTTCCCTCTGCATTGAACTCTGGATTCTTAACACCATGGTATGTTCAAACTGATATTTATGCCATACTTGTTACTCTTTCTGCTTTGTTCAGTTAGTGAGTTTACTTTATAACATACATATTGAAGTTGATGTTTTCAGCTACTTGACCACATCTACTGACACTAATTTCCAGATCACCTGTCACTGAACTCACAACAGATTTTGTCAACTGGCTGACCGCATGATCATATTCACCATGAGTAACCAGTAACACTACGGAACCAATTGATCGCATATGAATCAAACACTATCACAAAATAGAAATTTTCAGTCTACTGATGTCCATGAAAGTTGCATTTTAACTATTCTTGGCACTAAATAGTTTGATTTGCAAGACTAGATTTGGACTGCCTGAATCAATTTTCGGTATAGCTGCTAGCACATCTAGTAGGTCTGTAGTTTGTCCAGTATCAGTTTGCTAGCAGGTTGTAGCCATCATTACATACACATGCCTGCCCCAATATGTTTGAAGTTATTTCTGACGTGTTTCTTCCACTGGTGAAATGCAGCCGTGAAAGGTTATTTCTGGCACTTGGCTTTGAGCTATTCGCTGTGAGTGATGACAAGTTCATGGACATGTTTGTCGCCCCTGGGGCAGTTGATGCTATCCAGAATGAGCGCCAATCTCTTCTCAAACGTAAGAAGATTTTGCTGTCCTGTTTGAACGAGTTTAAGAACATATCCCGGGCTCTGTAATGATGGCCCATTCTTCTTTATCCCCATTCTCATGTATCTTTCTTGGCATAACCTATTTTCTTGTTGTCTGTACCACTCTGTGTCAAGTTTCTTGTTGACAAGTTCTGTATCACTTACATTTGTTCAGAATCAATACTTGATATTATTGATTATGGTCGACAACTCGAATACAAAACTATTGACTTAGAGTTCTGATCTCATCAGTTTGGGCACAGGCCCTGCGAAACTTTATATACAAATATCTAAAGATGCAGCGCTATTAGTATAAACATTGTGCCTTTTTCAACAGTGGTGTATACATTCAGCCTGAGCATATGTTGTGCGTTTGTCCTGTTTCTTTATTACTTGGAAGTTGGTTGTGTGACCGCACCATTGAAAACCGATTCAACAGGTGCTGGTATCTGAGGTAAACAGGCAAGGCAAAGTGTGTTTTGATTCACATCACACCTAATAAAAGTGAGAAAATAGTCCGTTGTTGGTTGCAGGTGACGGCTCCATGTATCCATCTGACCATATTTTTCAGCTGCCATCCTGTCATCTGCATGAAAAAAACATCTGGTGTCACGCAACTTATTCAGCTTTCGTTCCCATTTCTCTGTCATGCTTCCCACTTTACGCCTTTACCCCGCCTGTATGTACAGTTCACTCATTACCCTGCCTGTATGTTCGGCTGGTATTAAAGTCGGCTGATAAGCCGGCTGAAGCTATTTTGTTGTGAGAGAAAAATACTGTAGATTCTAGCTGATAAGTCGGCTGATAAATTCAAGCGAACAGGCCAGGATCTAGAGTGTGTTCACGTGTCATATCGCGTTGTACATAGTACCAGCCTCTAGTTGTCCGTCCCTTGATGCTTTTGGCCATTTGCTTTGTCATTTCTCTTCAAACCAAACCATGGAAATCTCCGCACTGCCGCAGCAGAACACCAGTCTAGAAGAAGGTTATGTACCTTTCAGAAGGAATGTCCTGTAGGGCATCTCGAGCAAGTGGTCTCTCTCTCCCTCCCTGGCTATATTTGCTGAGGGTCGTCAAAGCATGGTGGCCAGTCCTGTTCCGCCATGTTCGCAGGGCATGGGATTCAAGTTGCTATCATGCTACTGCTATGTTGCTATCATGCTACTGCTATGTGTTCCGCCAAAATGCCACGAGTGGGGGACAGAGAGCATATATAACCAAAGGACGGAAGAACTGGTGCTGGATCGCCCCAACCCACCATTTCGCCGGCGGGTGCTGCACCAGATCCAGATGGGCATCTCGCGATCGATCTGGTCCTCCACTTGTGCGGTGGTGCTGTGGTCCATGACAAGTGCGAGGATGGAACTGGAACCGAACCGGAACGCCAGGGGACGTACTGGGGAGTGAGTCAGCACTCAGCAGTCGACTGTGGGAGGCGTACCGTACCATCCATGTTGGGTGGTCTTGTTTGGGGACACTGATCGATCGAAGAGCACAGGCCCATGTTACTCCACTCCGCTACAGACTGTATGTATGTGCGCATCTTGGTGGTGGCTGTTCGACCCCATCGAGTCATAACGGCACTTGGTAGATCTGTCTCTCTCTCTCTCTCTCTCTCTCTCTCTCTCTCCAAAATGGAAAGTTGTGTAGCGTGGGGGCTAGCTGAGAGTGACAGCAGGTGTGGTCTGGAGCGATGGCCTTGTCATGGTCACTGTTAGATGTGGATTTGGCCGGGAAGTGTGGCTGCACACTTAATTTGTTGGTCAAAGAAAGAAGGTCTAGTGGCCCCGCTCCAGACGCAGAAACGCCAGAGCTAACAACGGCAATTTCCCTCCTACTACCACCAGAGACCAAAGACCAAAGTTCCCCATGCCGTGATGGTGCGTGATCTATGGGCACGCCAGAAATGCATGCATACCCCAACGGCCAAAGAGATGGATGGATATAGAAGGAAATATGCTTGCGCATTTACGTGCAACCAACCACACTGGCAAAACGATCACTTGGAACCAATCTGCAATTGGCAGATGAGATGCAGCGCTGGTCACGGTATCTCCGTAGGAGCGCACTGCTGCCTGGCATGCGTTCCCAGATCAGAAAACGACGAGCCACCGCATCGCTGGAATAGGCGGGGAGCCACTGGGTCCGACCGAGTCTGAACTCTGAAGTGCACTCCAAGGCCAATACCGCGAGCAAGCAGGGCGGTGTGTGATGGGAGTGCTTGACCGAGGCGTTCGCTGGCACGTCCCGTTGCCGTGGGACACTGGGACACATGATAATTTTATCGAATCGCCTCGGCCCCGCGCACACGGCCGGCACCTGTGACCTGTCCAAGTCCAACCGAACCACCCTGTTCCGCCACCGGCCGGGGGAGTGTGGCTGAACACTGAACACTCGCGAGCGCGCCGGGTCGCCGAGCTCGTGAGCAGGGAACCACGCAGTGCACGCACCGAGGGTCTGTGCCTCCGTGGCCTTGTGGCAGGGACGTGGGTGGGCTCGAACACAGCGGTGTTCACAGGCCACATTGCCACATATACATTCCGTGGTGGGTGCAGTAGGAGCAGTTGCATGTGCGTTTAGGTGCGCTAGCTTGGAATGCAGAGGAGTCTTCCCATTCCTGAAGCCTCACACTGTTCCGTGTACTAGAGCTTATGTGTTCCAAATACGCTTGATAATGAACAATGATTGGCAAGTTTGACGAGAAAACTCGTTAGCATTGGTGCTGCGATTATTTGAACCGTCAACTCTCAATTATGTGATTTGATGGCCCCTGGAACTTGTTCAAAACTACTTCCTTCTGTTGAGACGTTAATCAGATGTAATCTCCTACCTACTGTATATCGCGTCATGCATCATGATCGTTGGTTCGTTCGCCATCCCGGCCGGGCCAATCCAGATAGTATAAACAAGTTTACATCAGACTTTTTTCCGGGCTTTTGTTGTACTACTTCAAGTAGCGAAATGTGGCCAACAGCATCATCATTTCCAACGATTCCTGTCCTCTTAGGTGGCACGCAATTGGCGTGTGCGCCTGCCTGCTTCGCCGAATGAAGCCGGTGGCCGGAGAGAATAGTCAAATCAAAAGCGCCCGATGCCGTTCTCGTAGCCGTTGAAACGGGAACTGGATGCCGGCTTTTTCAGTCTCCTCCTTTCTCATCGTGCGCCCAAATTTGTTTTGGTCCGTGGACACGATTCGGTTTCCACAATCATCCCCGAATCTGTTCGCGATGACGCGAAAAACGTTGTAGTTTTTCGAATGTATCGGAGATGGGAAAATTCATCAAAGACTATGGGCAAAACAGGTAATAAAACTGCATCTTTACACCCTTCCCGTCTGTGACATCGTCATCTACTCGTCTCCGACAAACCAAGCATGTACTACTACTGCTAACCTAGTACTGGTACAGTTTGATGAGCTGAGGCTGTGTTTGCTTGTGCTTATAAGCCAAAATTAATTATACTTTTCAATCATAAAATAATATTCAGTCACAGTAAATCCCGCCGAACATAGCAGGAGCCGTACACACGGCAGGAGCAAGGAATTCTACCAATGCAAAGCCCGAAGAAAGGTAGGAGGCGGCAGTCTCAGTCAGGGACACGACAGGAGGAATCATTGGGGGGTGGCCCAGCTGCAGGAGTGAAGCAGCAGCGGCAGGTGGAGGTAGAGTCAAATAGACAGTTGGGGAGCTTTTGCTTGTCCAAGTCAATGGATGCAGCCTTTTCCATCGGCACGAGAATCTTTGGACCGTTCCTAACCTAACGCGCGAGACGTGACCAAAATGAGCCATGAGGAAGCACCACAATGCTCAGGGTGCGTTTAGATGCCAAAATTTTTTGGTTTTGGGTACTGTAGCTTGTTTGTTTATATTTGACAATTAGTGTCTAATTATGGACTAATTAGGTTCGAAAGTTTCGTCTCGTGATTTCTCACCCAATTATGCAATTAGTTTTTTTTACATTTAGTACTCCATGCATGTGCCGCAAGATTCGATGTGCGCAAAAAAAATTTGGAATCTAAAGCCCTCAAGTGCTCCCCGTGCCTCGCTCGAAAAACCCCGGGCATCTTCCCTAGCAAGCGTTGGGTTGGGGTCTTTCTCCGTTTCAAGTATCGACGGAGAAGTTGCCTTCCTCTGTCTTCCGAGTTCGCTTTCCCTTTTTCCACGGCATCTTGCCGGTAAATTTACATGCTTCTCACTTTACTCTTCGTTATGCTATACCGTGCAACATCTTGGCCACAAAAAGTCTAAAACATGTGCACCCAATCTATTAACATGTGCAACACACGCTAGAATCTGATAATAAGAAGAAGCAAAAGTATGAAGTTCCTGTTAGTACCTGTAACATCGATATATGTCCTATATACTCGTTTCATTGGTTGTGATGAATTTAGGATTACATTATATGTTTTTCTATTTATATTCATATTTTCTCTCTCTTTATTTACATGGCAGTTCCATGCGTCTTCTGTATGTACTTAGTTGAAAACCAAGCTTAAGTTATGGTACCCTTAACAGGCCGTGACATGATGAATCTAGATTTTAACTTCTAAATTTTGATTTTATCAGTTACTATAGTTTTTTCTATCAGCAGGTTAAGTTGGAGCTCTTCTGTATACTATACCTTTTATTCAAAACCCTAGTTCTTATATTTTACTAAAAAGAAATTAGGTACTAGACACTAGAATGCACTATAAATTGCTATGATGGCATAAATGGTCATTTAAATCGCCACCACGCCGGTGTGGGCAACACAGCTCGAAGTGAGATTAAGGAGAGCGAGGATAGTAAACTAACCTTAAGAGATATCTAAGAATCCTTGTTTACTTTTAAGAAATTTTAAAAACCATGTGTCCATGGGGACATGGCTACCTTTGGTCGTGATTATTCACTAACTATATCCACTATTCAAGATGTTAAATTTTCTCAATGAAAAAAATTCATGAAACCAAATTTTATCAAACGAAACTCATGAAACCACTAACCTCTATAACCAAATTTCATCAAAGAAAACTCATGAAACCACTAACATAATCTGACCACTAAAAGGTGGACCAAATAAAATATAGAAGTTGAGGACCTTTAACATCAAATATTAGAATTTACCCCGTTCACAAAACCAGCCATCCTAATAAAAGTTATTCCTACGAGATGGTTTTACCCTGATAATATTAATACCACGAACGAAGCGTGAAGAGTGACTGCATGAAGATGGATAGAGCAACTACAGCAGAAGCTCTCAAAATAAAGCCCCTACTTTTGAGGGCTATGTTTTTTACTGCGCTCCAACAGTGGCCCTCAAAACAGGATCCTCAAAACTATTCTAGTAGAGAATGACATGTGAGACCCACTTGTCATCATCTTTCTTACCTTCTTCTCCATTGACTAACTCGGTCATGCGTCTGCCAGGGACGAGGAGACCGGGGCGGTGGGTCCAGCCCCCAGTCGCGGGCGGGAGGGGCCACCGCAGGTCAGAAGGGACCGACAGGATCGGCTCGTAGCAGGCATCCACGACGAGGACGAGGTCGCCGCTGCCGGGAGGCTGCACGGGGCTTCGGGAGAAGCCACGACCACCCGCCGCGAGGAGGAGGTCACACGCAGCCAGGAGAAGCCATGCTGTCAGCCAACAAGCTAGAAGGCGAGGAGGCCACGCCATGAAGATGTTGATCTAGGGAGAGGCATTGGGGAGGACCGGAGGAAGTTGCGCCGCCAGGGGAGAGGGCAGATCTAGGTGTTGTCGGGGGAAGGGGTGCTGGGGGAGGACTGGAGGAGGTCTCGCCGGGAGGGGCGTTAGGGAGGAGGTCGCGCCGGGTGCTGCCGGTAGGAAACGAGCCAAGGATGGGCGTCGGGGAGGAGCGTGAGGAGCGGATACAAAATGACGTGCGAGACCAACACCAGAAAAACGTTGAGTAGGGGCTCCCTCCATAGTCCTAGGAATGAGGGCAGGACGAAGGATTTGAAGGACCCTCAAATTTGAGGATTCTAGTAGGGACTCTAGTGGACCTCGTTTGTTACCTCAATCTCTAAAATTTAGTTTTGAGGGCTGGTGCTCTAAGTAGGAGGAACCTTGAGGTTCAGTACTTCAGTCAAGATTACCTCTTCTACTTCCCCACCTGGCCACCACCACACTACCCAACACAAGCCAAGAAATAAGAGGAAAAGGACAAAGAAAAGTAGAGAAAAAGAAAAGAAGAAACCCATGCGAAATGAAACATACTTTTTTTTTGAATTTAAATGAAACAGACTTTGGCGAGAGGGGGGGGGGGGGGGGGGGGGAGAAGAAGACGGAGAGAGCATGCATCCAAAGTCTCACTCACACCACAAGCAATGCGTCTCTAAGGGGGTGTTTGGTTTCTCCTCCTAAACTTTAGTCGTTGTCCCATCGGACGTTTGAACATATGCATAGAATATTAAATATAGACTAATTACACAGCTTGCGACTAATTTGCGAGGCGGATCTTTTAAGCCTAATTAGACCATGATTTAGCAATGTAATGCTACAGTAAATATATGCTAATGATGAATTAATTAGACTTATTAAATTTGTCTCGTGGAGTACTGATGGATTCTGTAATTTTTTTATTAGTATCCGAACACCCCATACGACAACCTCACGGGACACCTTCTATATTTTAATCACCGGATCCCAACACCCCCTGCTCCCCTCCCTCTGCCTTCTGTCTCTTCTTAACGTCCCCACCCTCTTCCTCCTCTTCCCCTCTCCTCCCCGGCCCTCTTCTCTTCTCCGCCAACGCCAAAACCCACACACTCCAATGGAGGTTTCCACCAAGCAACTCCTCCCCATGCCTCATCAGCAGGACCCCAACTCCCCTTCCTCTTCCACCTCTTCTTCTTCGTCGTCGTCCACCTCCCCATCTCACCCCCACCACCGTGCGCAGCCCCACAACCTCCCGCAGTCCCCCAGGCCCATCCCGCGCACCATCGACACCACTCCGTTCCCCACCACCTTCGTCCAGGCCGACACCACCTCGTTCAAGCAGGTCGTCCAGATGCTCACCGGCGCCGAGCCGCCCACCAAGAACGACGCGACGACGACAGGGGCAGCTGCTGCCAACAGCGGCAGCGCCGGGACCGGCGGCGGCCAAGCGGCTAGCGGCGGGCCGTGCCGGCCCAAGAAGCCGTCTTTCAAGCTGTACGAGCGGCGGAGCAGCCTGAAGAACCTGAAGATGATCGCGCCGCTGGCGATGGGCCCGCCGCCGTCGCCGCGGACGAGGGCCACGCCGGAGATCCTGTCGCCGAGCGTCCTGGACTTCCCGTCCCTGAGGCTCAGCAGCCCGGTGACGCCGCTCACCGGCGACCCCTTCAACCGCTCGCCGGCGTCGACGTCGTCGTCCTCCGAGGAGGCCGAGCGCGCCGCCATCGCCGAGAGGGGCTTCTTCCTCCACCCGTCCCCGAGGGGCGGCGCCGAGCCCCCGCGCCTGCTCCCGCTCTTCCCCGTCACCTCGCCCCGGATGGCGGCGCCGTCCGAGTGAAGATCCGGCCCGCCTCTCATCTCGTCGCGGGCGCGCGCTACCGTACCGTAGCCACCACCGCCAGTACTACTACAACCGCCGCCGTACTGCCCTTCCGTTCTGGTTTTGTAAGGTGCTTGCTTTGCTGTTCTTCTTGATCGACGCTGCTGCTGCTGTAATTTTTGCTCCCTTCTTGAAACGAACGAAGAAGGGAGTTCTTTTTTTTCTTCATTTCGGAGCGGCGACACGCGAGCGATCTGATGATCCAGGCTCGATCGCTCGATTCCTGATCGCTCGCGGGAACCTCCGGAATGAAATGATGGATGGATGAATTAGATAATTAATTAATGATGAAGCTTAATCTTGAGATTATGTGCAGCGTGTGTGTCTAGCCGGCCGTCTCATTTGCTGATTCTGACCGGTTCGCCGATCTGCCCTGTGATGTCAATTCCGTTTGCTTTTTCCCTTCATTTTTCCTTTGGTTTGATTCCTTGTGATCGCAGGCCACTGTTGGTGCGTCTGCGCTCATAAATACGGGCTCTTTGTAATTTTCCGCGCATGCATGCAAAATCTGGGGAAAAAGCCACAGTTTTTCTGGTAAAAATTCAGTTTACCAGTAACGCTTGCAACACAAGCTCATCACATCTCGACATCACGTAGTACTACTCTACTGGCAGACCCAGACAAGAACGGTGATTGCATTGCATCTGCTCCTGAAAAAGCTTCAGGCCCTCCTGACAAACCCTGCGTCTGTCTATTGTATTACGTCTGTCTGTCAGTCCTATATTTCCGAGATGTTCTCTTCTCCGGCAGGCAGGGCGGCAGGTGGGAGGCTTGGATCGTCTCTTCTCCGTCAGTCCGCCTGCTGCACCTGCATGCAGCGAGGCAACAGCTGCGCTGGGTCCACGTGCACCACATGGGCTCCCGGCTCCGGCTACAGCGCCAGCCACTCTGACCATTCGTTGCACAGTTAGCAGTCCAGCTCAGATGACCGGGAGTTGAGACCACAAGGAGCCTGCAATTTGTCACGCTGCTGCGTCTCGCGGAACTACTAGCAAAACGGAGTGGAGTCGAGTCACCGTGAAGGCTTCGCCGCCCACTTGGTGGTGGACAGAGTATAGACCAGTTGGCAGCAGCAAACCAAACCGAGCCTGCGAGCCGCGGAGTGGAACGGAAGGGGGCCTCGAGTCGAGCCCAGCAGTGCAGCACCGTGCCGGGGGCAGCGCGACCCGCGAGGCGTGATCCACCCCTGATCCGGGTGGCAGCCGTGCCTGGCCTGGCATCGCGTGGTGTGGCGGGGGCCGCGGTTGCCGTGGGGGCATATGGAGCACGGGTGCGCGGCCAGATTCGCCGCGCTCGCGCACCCGTGGGCCGTGGCGCCTGAGGGGGTGGCGCGGTGGAGGAAGACCGAAGACCGGTTCAAGCGTGCCGGCGTCAGCACGTGGCCAGTGGCGTCCTGCGGCCTGCGGTTCACGATCGGGCGAAGACGAGTTTCGTCCTAGGGCGTGTCACGTTTTTTTCTCCTTGCTGAGAGGTGGCGTCCGAGCGCGACTGCTGTGTCTGTGCGCTCGTCCCGTCGTCAGTTCTACGTATGGTGCCGTTCTGTTTTGGTACTTCTAACCAGTCTACTGAACGACTTCGCCGTATAGTATAGATACAATAATCGTCCCGCGTCCTTCAGTCTAGGGAGAAACAAACTCCGCGTCTGTCTATACGCCTGTCAGTCCGATTAAGATAATTGTACCAGCTAGCGCTAGTTATTAGGTAAGAGTACTCAATATTTTTCTCCTAAAAACATGAAATTTTACAACTCTAAAAAAATATTGGAAGAAATAAAAAATGCCATCTCCCAGAATTTCCAGCCAACTTCCTAGTGCCGTGGGCCACCTGTGCGACAGCGTCGACGGGCTGGGAGAAGACTCCATGACGTGCGTCGAGACTCGAGCTGTTGGCCAGGCAGCGCACCACGCTCGACCTGATACTCGCGGCCGCCAACGAACGCGGCTCCCTCGCCGGCGTCGTCTCGGACTTGATCGCAGGACTGGTCGTTTATGGTCTGTTCGCTTTGCTGAAAAGTCATAGCTGAAAGTATTGTTCGCTTATTTATTGTGAGAGAAAAACACTGTTCGTTCGCTGAAATAGTACGGCTCATAAGAGAAGCGAACAGGGCCTATGGCGCGAAGGAGAAAACGTCGGGAAAACTGGCGCGAGGCAGATACATAGCTGAAGAATTGCACGTAACTTTACGCGCAGAGGGGTCTGTTTTTCTAAATGCCAAAAGATTAGGAGATTATATTAGAAACTGTTGGAGATGAATTTTTTCTAATCTTGCTAAAAATCTTAGATTGGGAGAGTCTTTTGGATACTCTTGAAGTTGCTCTAAGAGTTAAAACTTAATCTAAATTAGTTAAGATTGATTAGCTAGTTAGCTAACAACTAGTTAGTTAAAAAGTAGACCTTTTCTAGACGGTTTATAAGGCTAAAAATTAACTGACTAACAATAAACCAAATGCATTCAAACATGTACTAAGCTTAGGGACATGGGAAATGAAGCTATAGCTTTTGTTGGACCATGATACCTCTCCTCATTCCTCTTGTTTTACACACCTTATCTGAATTTTGAGTTTGTTTCAAGTCATATTATTTAAATTTGTAAAAGATAATATATATTTATGATATTAAATATGCATCATTAGATACAATATTTTATAAATATATTTTTAAAATACATATATTTTGTGAATCACAGAATAGAATAGAATAGACACCTTTACATACACTCGTCCTTATGAACACAAACACCTCATATACCTATGAGCACCTCCGAAAGATTGAGAATGAGCCGACAGATCCAAAGATTGATGAAGTCACCACAGATGTCTCACTTATCCAGGGACGAATCTAGCGGTGGGACGGGGGAGGGGGGGATCGAGCCCCCCTACCGCTGTCGAGCCCACAAAGCCCCCCTGGACCCTGGTAGATGGAAGCTTCCAATTCTATTAGTGTTACCAATCTCTACTTCTGTAGCTGTGTACTTCTGTTGTAAGTTTTGCAAATAACAAAATGTGAATGGTTTAATCTCCTAAAACTGAAAGATGATGATATGTACCTGGATCCTCCACTTGTGCTCAAGTTTTACACTATATTAAGAGTTTAAGACACACACACACACACACACACACACACACACACACACACACACACACACACACACACACACACACACACACATACATACATATATATATATATATATATATATATATATATATATTTGTACTTTTATTTTCTGGTGGACTTGAAGAAATGGTGAATGGATAGACTTGGCTTGGCATCTACACCTAGCTAATTAGAAATTTGGAAATGAGCAAAACTGCAATTACAAAGTAATTTAAATGTTCATTTTTGTTGCTATTATAATACTGCCTTTATAGTTTAATATGCATCAATATTTGTTAATTATAAAACTAAAATGTATACATCATATTCTTCTAGAAAAATTTACCATATCCTCGTACACATTAGTAAGTTACCCATATGTGTATTCATATCCATACTTTATAGCTCTTGGACTCTATTGTGTTCAACCCCCCCCTAGATTTTTCCTAGATCCATATGTACCACTCTAAGAACAACACCGCTAAATCCTGGAATAATTCCAGAAAAATGTGAGCAACTGCATCAAGTAGAGGACTTAGACCCACGTGGACATGTTCTATCACATAAAACCTAACCAGCTAAACTATACTCGGTTCGCAAAAATAGACCTATTCATTCATGTTGCAACAGTTAACACTCTTATCTATTAATATGATTAAAATCTATTGTATCTATACAAAGTGTTAACAGTTTCATATTTGCTATGAGGATTTAGAAATTAAGAGATTAATAATAATAATAACAGTTAGATCTAATCAAAGAGGTCATGCTAAACATGGTCTAGATTTAACAAGCACTAAAATCAGAATTAGAAAATTGAGAAAAGTAGGCTCCTGTTTGGTAGAATTCCAGGCGGCTCCGGCTCTGGCTCCTTCATACACTTTGGTGAGAAGATATTTTTCTCTCTCCTCTCAAAATGAATTAGGAGCCCGCACCAGTGAATAGTTTTTGGTGTACAAGATTATAACAACAAAATCATAGAATCCTAGCATCTTTCGATATCTTACGATGTGAATGTGTGAAAAGCTCACGAGCAATGACCAGACACCCATCGACTTTTTCTTCGAGAGAAGATGGTCAGATGCAGAAACTAACGTGCTCACAGATGACGATAGTAGTGTGATATAGTGGCATGAGTATAGGCATGAGATCAACAGCTCGCCAGTGTCAAAGATGGTTCCATACTTTGTTTCAAAAGGCTTGAAGTAACAATGGGTGTTGGCATGGTACGGCCAGTGGCTACTTAAGGCAGTAATGGATGCACAACACATGAGTGACATTTGTGATGAATTTGGTGATGTTTAAGGATAAAAAAGGCATTTGAACCCACAAGAGAAGGCATATAGGACCATGAAAATTTAAATTTACAAGAGGGCCAAGGAATGAGATATTTGAGAAACTTGGAAAGTGATTTTATCCAGAAACAGAGCTCATACTGAAGACAACCTTGATTTGGCCTTGACAGGATCGGAATCTCACGGTCACCAAATAGGAGTGCACAAAATAAAAAAGAAAAAGACAACAAGATCTTCAAACTCAAACTAAGGAATTGGTTGATGATAGTTAAGCTGATTTCATACCGGGGGCTCATGGGGAGACAATAGCTACACAATAGGTAAATAAAAACTATTTACAAAAGTGTTTTCTCTCACGACAAAATAGCATCAGTCGGTTTATCAGCCGCATAAACCATCAGCCGAACAGCTCCGTTATTTTTTAGTAAAAGGCCCAAATATTACCATGAGAAAAAAACTAGCTACCTATTTACGCGGACTACTTTACTAATTAAACTTAAAACAGACTTGAAATCCGTTATATTCCAAAACAGGCAAAACTTTTGCAAAAGAAGCCGAAAGAGAGAA